GCACGTGCGTGGAGGCGGAGGGGGCGGCGGGGGCGGCGGCGTGGGTGGAGAGGGACGGCTCGGCGGATTTGGCGCTGGCGGATGACCGTGGCGCGATGTCGGCGTCGCTGTCCTGAATGTCGAGCGAGGGCGAGGGCGAGTGCGAGCGCGAATCTTGATCGGACGAGTGTTTGGAGTGCGCGACAAAGGCAGGGACGAGCGCGTCTGGCTGTGCGTTTGGATCGACGTCAAGGTCGCCGAGAGCGTGCCTCGCCTTTGCAGCCAGAGCCTCGATCCGCTGGCGGCGTGACAAGGGTGGGGACGGTTGTTGATGGTCTTGCGGAGCCGGTTCGAGCGCAGCGGAGCTAGCCAGGTTGAAGGTGCGGGGGCGAAGAGGATCCTCAGCATCGTTGTCGGGATCCGAGGAAGAGGAGAATGTGGGACGAGTTGGGGCGCCGTGTTTGCCCCGCATGGCCGACACCTTTGCGCCATGGCGACGAGGCAGGGGGAGAGGGTCGTAGGTATCGTCGGTGGCAGGATCGTCGTGCTGGTCTGAAACGTGCGAGCTGGAGGGCGGGAGAGAGGAGAGCGAGCCGGTGAACGGATCCGAGTTGACGTCGGGTGCCGCTTGTGCGCGGATGCGCGTGATGATTGCATCGTCGTCGTGGGCGTCGTGCGATGGCGGATTGCCGGAGCGTGCGTTGGAAAGCTCGTCGTCGTCGTCGTCGTCAGAGTCCGAGTCGTAGATGGCTTTTGCACGACCGATTTGGAAAGTGGTGCGGAGGTTGTCCTGGCTGTGATGCTGGCGGTGCAATGGCGACGTCGCGTGCTTGACGGCGGAATTGTCGGCATGGGCAGTGGTTGCGGGTGAGACGGCGGCGGTGGAAGAGACGCAAGCTGCATTGTCCTGAGGCGAGCCAGACGATTGGTGCGAGGCGGCTGCTGTGGTATAGTGACGCATGGGCGAGTCGAAGAGGATGTGCGAGGGCGATGCAGGCTGCGAGGAGGAGGTTGCTGCCGAGTCGAGGTTGGACTGTGCTGGATCCGTTTGAGCGTCTGCCAAGGGTTTGCGTGAATAGGTGACGTTCGCTCTTGCGCCAGGGGGTGGAGCAGCCTCGATGGAAGGGACCGCCGACGAGGCAGTGGGCGAGGAGGAGACGAGTGAGCTAAGCGTAGAGGCGGAGGAGCTGAGGCTTTGCATCGTGTCCCGCCGTAGATCAAGATCAGAATGAGAGTGCTCGACCAAAGAGTGCCATTCGGATCGGCTTCGTAGAAAGCGAGAAAGCGGGGAAAGGAGAGTGTTTGTGAGGGATGATGATTGTGATGATGGTGATGATGATGATGATGATGATGATGATGA